GACGGGAACTGGCGAGCGCGTGTTGAATGCCGCGCACGCATTGCCAGACGAGTCGAGAATGGCCCGGTACACCGCAGGAAGCCAGAGGTGGCCGTGTCGAGAACGGCCCGGTAAGCCGGGTCCCATTCCTGCCATGCATTTTGCGACGTGGACGACAGGACGTCCATGCGACGGTGCCAATGACGGCGACGACTCTAGAAGGATTTGAGCATGCGCTCGCGGCGACGCGCGCGCATGTCACAGAATTCTTAAGATTCCTATGGTTTCCCTATGATTTCAGCAAGAGAGCCCGGGCAGGAAAATTGTAGAATTTTTGTGAACAAACATTGGGTTTTTGATGTTTTTATGTTGAAATGCTTGCAAACACACGGTGTTCGGTAGGATTCTGTCATGAACGCGCGCGTGTGCTCTTTGTGGTATTTTTTGCAATGGATTATCGCCGTGGACGACAGGACGTCCATGTCGAGAGGAAAAAATAAGAAAAATGTTGATTTTGTATTGTTTTTTACAGGTTAGGATGGGACCACCCGGATGCGGCCCCTATCTGCCGGCCTGAGGGGGGAGTAGGAGTATATTCTAATAAGGAATAAGGATAGGAGTAGGAGTAGGAGTAGGAGTAGGAGTAGGAGTCAAGCTAGCCAGCTCGAGCGAGTCAAGCATGGCATGCCCAGTCCCACCCGCCCTCCCACAACATAAGAAGCAAAGCTGGCACAACTGGGGGCCGAAGTCACACCGGCCAGCCGGTTTGGTACAGCTGATGCGGCCGCGATGGCGGTTGCCGACGGGAACTGGCGAGCGCGTGTTGAATGCCGCGCACGCATTGCCAGACGAGTCGAGAATGGCCCGGTACACCGCAGGAAGCCTGAAGGCCCCAACTTGTACTGTTTTTTTATAAAGGGGGGGTTTGGATGGGCGGGCGCGGGGTGTGCGCCGCATCCCATTCCTGCCAAGCATTTTGCGACGTGGACGACAGGACGTCCATGCTGAGAGGAAAAACGTTGGTGCGCGGCGCCGAGGCGAGAGCGACATGTCACCCCTTCGCGCGGGGTGTGCACCGCGTCCCATTCCTGCCACTCATTTTGCGACGTGACGACAGCACGACCATGTTGACAAGAAAAACAAAAAACTGTGTATTGTCTTTTGCAGATTAGAATGGGACGGATTGGATGGGCGGGCGCGGGGTGTGCGCCGCGTCCCATTCCTGCTATGCATTTTGCGACGTGGACGACAGGACGTCCATGCGACGGTGCCAATGACGGCGACGACTCTAGAAGGATTTGAGCATGCGCTCGCGGCGACGCGCGCGCATGTCGCCCGCGTGGTATTTTTTGCACAGGATTCGCGGCCTGGGTGCATGACAGAGCATCGCGAGTGCACCGCGCGATGACGTGAAATCGCTGGATTTGACCGAATTCTTAAGATTCCTATGGTTTTCCTATGATTTCAGCAAGAGAGCCGGGCAGGAAAATTGTAGAATTTTTGTGAAAAAAAACATTGGGTTTTTGATGTTTTTATGTTGAAATGCTTGCAAACACACGGTGTTCGGTAGGATTCTGACATGAACGCGCGCGTGTGCTCTTTGTGGTATTTTTTGCAATGGATTATCGCCGTGGACGACAGGACGTCCATGTCGAGAGGAAAAAATAAGAAACATGTTGATTTTGTATTGTTTTTTATAGGTTAGGATGGGACCACCCGGATGCGGCCCCTATCGGCCGGCCTGAGGGGGGAGTAGGAGTATATTCTAATAAGGAATAAGGATAGGAGTCAAGCTAGCCAGCTCAAGCGAGTCAAGCATGGCATGCCCAGTCCCACCCGCCCTCCCACAACATAAGAAGCAAAGCTGGCACAACTGGGGGCCGAAGTCACACCGGCCAGCCGGTTTGGTACAGCTGATGCGGCCGCGATGGCGGTTGCCGACGGGAACTGGCGAGCGCGTGTTGAATGCCGCGCACGCATTGCCAGACGAGTCGAGAATGGCCCGGTACACCGCAGGAAGCCAGAGGTGGCCGGAGGAAGCCCGACGGTCTGACAGGACACCCCAAAGCATTTTTGTGAAAAAGCATTGGGTTTTTGATGTTTTTATGTTGAAATGCTTGCAAACACACGGTGTTCGGTAGGATTCTGACATGAACGCGCGAGTGTGCTCTTTGTAGTATTTTTTTGCACAGGATTCGCGGCCTGGGTGCATGACAGAGCATCGCGAGTGCACCGCGCGATGACGTGAAATCGCTGGATTTGACCGAATTCTTAAGATTCCTATGGTTTTCCTATGATTTCAGCAAGAGAGCCCGGGCGGGAAATTTGTACAAGTTTTGTGAAAAAAACATTGGGTTTTTGATGTTTTTATGTTGAAATGCTTGCAAACACACGGTGTTCGGTAGGATTCTGACATGAACGCGCGCGTGTGCTCTTTGTGGTTTTTTTTGCAATGGATTATCGCCGTGGACGACAGGACGTCCATGTCGAGAGGAAAAAATATGAAAAATGTTGATTTTGT